GAATATATGTATCGCTTTGAAGTGCATTGATATTACTTTGTTGCACAGTAAACTTACAATTATCACTACCAATCTAACAAATGTTTTAGTTATACAATTATCAATAGAATGCTATTAAACACAGTCAATATTAGATATAAAATATACAAAATACATACTCAATTCTCCATGCAAAAAAGTTTAGTGAAACGTTCATTGTTAAAGTTACACATGTGTATTGTCTTCACTCCTCACACTAACTGATCTTGATTCTCTTAGAGCAAGCTGACCAACATACTAAAACTAAATCCACCCCAACAGTAGGTAATATATTAAAAATGTATATTTTAATAAAACTTATAAAATAATTGTGTTTACCACAAAATTATACTTTCTTCAGTAACAAGCAAATAATATATAGGAATAAAATTTATTAAGTGTCCCATTGTAGCTTTTTAGTGTTAAGTTTGCAGGAATGGTTTTTAAATAGTAAAAAAGTGAAAAAGCTCATTATTAATTTTAGCTAAATAAACTAAATAAGCTAAATAAATTGAATTGGTTGTTGCCCAAAAATAAAATTTGATTTTAAAAACTTAAAGAAAAAGCACAGGATAATTTGTTGATGGTTTTTTAATTTTTGCAAAAAGTTATTAACATTTCATAAATTTGTTGTAGATACCATACTAATTTACAATCAATATTCTGAACACTGATTAATTCTGAGAGGTTAAAATCAATAATAGTCAACGTTATCATATGAACTCAGGGGTAGGTAGCCTTAGAGCACTTGTTTCATCTGAACCTTACGCATCTGTAATTTTGCCAGATTAGAACAAAAAACTGTCCAGGCAATAAGAAAAGTTCTCTAGCAGCCAAAAAAACGGAGTTAAATCTTGGCAACGGGTAAGCATAATATTGTGTTATACATTAGTAAAAAACACTCTTGCAATCTTACTTAGACAATGTGATTCTAACAAGACAATATTTTTAAATTGAATAACGATTATAATTACTGAATTTTAGGTTATGAGGACTTTTAAAGATATAAAGGGTAAGATCATGAATAAACAATAATTATAATGGAAAACACAAATAAATCTTAAAAAGTATACGTCATCGTAAAAACGCAACATTTTTTCAAAATTTTTTGAAAAGAAGAAACAAAAATAAGGATTAATGAATTTACTCTAATTTTCTAATTTACTTTAATTTTCTCTCTTCTAGTGTTACAATTCACTAGCACGCTGGTCTAGTGGTAAAGTGCGGACTTAGGTCCCTGAGGTCCCAGGTTCAAATCCTGCTCACCAATGGATTTTATATTTTATCAAAGTGGTAATGCTGCAACCCTCTCGGACTAGCCTGAAATTATGCGGACAATGGTTCCAAACCAGAGCCTATGTCCTAGGATGTGAAGGAAGTACAATAAAAGAGAAAAGAGGTATAAGGATTGACTTTCTTTTTATTCTTTCTTCTATAATTATACATAGCCTGGTATATAGAAAAAAGTATCTTTTGGGTATCTTTTGGGAAACCAAAAAAAGTGGTTTTTGAAGTGATGTCTGTATGTGTGGGTGTGTACAAATCTACACACTAAACCTGTAGTCTGATTTTGATGAAATTTGATACATCATCCCATGCTAATCAACATTATTTCAATGTATTTTTAAATTTGGTGAAATTTTGATTTTTTAATGGTAAATTATCAATAAAAACTAAAAAATAATGGAAAAATAAGATGTTTACACAAACAATTAAAATTGAAATCTAGTATATAGTCCTTTTAACTCTGATAAAAATGGCACAACCCACAACACTGTAGAAATCACAGTCCAAGTTACTGCAATTTTTGTGGTCAATCCCATGATACCCACATTTCATTAAAATGTACAGCTACATACACATGTGGATGTTCAATTTTAATTTGAAGCAGCTGATGCAAAAAGTATGTGTCAGTTTGCTGCTATTGTTTATTTAATAAACAAAGACATATTCCAACTCTTAAATCCTTCAATATAAAACTATAAATAAAGAATTTAATTATACACCTAAAAAAAAGACAAAATTCTAACAATGCTAACATAGTAAAAAAAATACATTATATAATATGCTTAATTAAAAGTTACAAAAATTTAAATAAATTTTGTGTACAAAACCATATTTCTTTTAAATAAATTAATGTTTCATATCATTATGGAACACTAACAGTGAAACACTTGAATCCAAGTGACCGGTGAAAGCCATCGACAAAAAGAATCAATAAAAGGAATATTTTGAGAGTAAATTGTCTGTGGAAATGACACCAAGTCGTAATCCACTTAAAGGTGCAAATTCTGTGTCAATTAGGTGAAAAGCGAGATATAACGTCGATATCTCACCATTTGATTGACCCGTCCCTTGTAAATAATAAATGATTCTGACAACACCAGCTATTGTTTGGGAATTTGCAAAGTAAAAAAGCTAACACTGTATAATGTAAATGCTTAGTAAAATTGATAAAGAAAGAATATGTGCAAAAAACAGCCTTAAAAAGTAAATTAAATGCTCAACATTAAAATTAGTAAATGGAAAAACTTATTTATGAATTCGCTTTTAATTAAATTTATGTAAGTGGCTGATGTGAATTAAGAAACTGTTAATTGTGTGGTTGGTTAGTTTTTAACCAGATTATCAAAAAGCAAAAGAAAGTCTTACTCCAATTTCTAAAACATTTGATCTTATGTTCGATGTCATTCATTTGAAGTTTTCACAACAAAAAAGAGGAATATTTTTGAGTGATTATTTTTACCATTATTTTACCATAGGTTAGTATCCTTAACCCAAAGATAAGGGTGTTTGAGTCCCATAACAAAAACAGCTGAGAGAATTGTATTGCTTTAATAAAAACCTACAAATGACATTTAAAACACAAAAGAATACAAAACGTCGTTTGACAGTGTCAGCGGCAGGATAACGGAACCAGAGTCTCGCGGCACTCTCTACCTTGTTTTAATCTTGCCTTGATCTGTTTTAGTGTGGAATTCATGAGGAGTTTACTGGTCCAAGAGCTTGATGAGAGAGAATGATGACGGCTGTAATCTTTGTAATTTCAATTTGTATTTCAAATCAGGAAATGTATGGCATTTCCCTTCCTACTGTGTGTCTATCCCAAAGTATTTAATAAAAATTTGAACCTTAAGGTCTCAAAGATAAGGGAAGATATAGACAATAGACATAACTAAATTAAAAGTTGTATCACAGATAATAACCATAAGATCAGAAGTAACCTTTTTCGAGAAGATTTAAATGGGTAGAGTTCTATATTTGTCCCACAAAAACATTTGTTTGTATGTTTTAAATGCTTCAAATAATGATTTAGCTTTCTAGATACCAATTTCGGTATACATAAGAAGATGTAGAAAATATTAGTACTCAATTTTAAAGAAAAAAAGTAAAATCGTGTTCAACAATTTATAAATGTTAAACAAGGTTTTATACAGACATGGTATGACCAATGAGCCTTGAGAGCGTATTACTAATTCACACAGCGTGTAATGTGGCATGTTAACTATACAGAGCGTAACGGAGGATTCTCAACTGTTGTCTAAACATCAACCGAGTACCACAAGATTCTGAACTGTTGTCTAAACATCAACCAAGTACAACAAGATTCTCAACTGTTGTCTAACCATCAACCAAGTACCGCAAGATTCTGAACTTTTATCTAAACATCAACCAAGTACCATAAGATTCTGAACTGTTGTCTAAACATCAACTTGAGTACCACAAGATTCTAAACTGTTGTCTAAACATCAACCAAGTACCACAAGATTCTAAACTAATGCCTAAACATCAACCAAGTATCACAAGATTCTAAACTGTTGTCTAAACATCAACCAAGTACCAAAAGATTCTGAACTTTTGTCTAAACATCAACCAAGTACCACAAGATTCTAAACTTTTGTCTAAACATCAACCAAGTACCACAAGATTCTAAACTGTTGTCTAAACATCAACCAAGTACCACAAGATTCTGAACTTTTGTCTAAACATCAACCAAGTACCACAAGATTCTAAACTAATGCCTAAACATCAACCAAGTATCACAAGATTCTAAACTGTTGTCTAAACATCAACCAAGTACCACAAGATTCTGAACTTTTGTCTAAACATCAACTAAGTAGAAGATTCTGAACTGTTGTCTAAACATCAACCAAGTACCACAAGATTCTGAACTGTTGTCTAAACGTCAACCAAGTACCACAAGATTCTGAACTGTTGTCTAAACGTCAACCAAGTACCACAAGATTCTGAACTGTTGTCTAAACGTCAACCAAGTACCACAAGATTCTGAACTGTTGTCTAAACATCAACCAAATACCACAAGATTCCGAACTGTTGTCTAAACATCAACCAAGTAACACAAGATTCTGAACTGTTGTCTAAACGTCAACCAAGTACCACAAGATTCTGAACTGTTGTCTAAGCATCAACCAAGTACCACAAGATTCTAAACTGTAGTCTAAACATCAAACAAGTACCACAAGATTCTAAACTATGGTCTAAACATCAACCAAATACCATTCGATTCTGAACTGTTGTATAAACATCAACCAAGTACCACAAGATTCTAAACTGTTGTCTAACCATCAACCAAGTACCACAAGATTCTGAACTGTTGTCTAAACATCAACCAAGTACCACAAGATTCTAAACTGTTGTCTAAACATCAACCGAGTACCACAAGATTCTGAACTGTTGTCTAAACATCAACCAAGTACCATAAGATTCTGAACTGTTGTCTAAACATCAAACAAGTACCATAAGATTCTGAACTGTTGTCTAAACATCAAACAAGTACCACAAGATTCTTAACTGTTGTCTAAACATCAACCAAGTACCACAAGATATTGTCTATGACTTTGAAAATATTTATTATTCCACTTGATTTTATATCTTGGCATTTAAGAATCGTAAAACACAAACTGCAGTTGTGACTCAAGTTTGAAATCAACTATTACAGTGAACTTTTTTATTATACTTACATGACCATCACATGGGCTTCGCTAATCTTATCTCAGGCAACCTGCAAAAAAGATAACAATTTAAACTAAGTGAGGTTTAATGTTCATGAATGTGAGTGAGGTAGAACCCGAAACGACCACTGAGGAAAAAAATTCATCTTGTTCAATTTCGCTACCTATAAATTTCAAAAACTTTATACCAATCGACCCTTTAACAGTGACACAGATTTGCGTGTATATTTTAACTAAGTATGAATGCAGAGGGAGTGTAGAATGGAGTAAGATGATTTGTTGCGTTGTTGACTAAGATCAGCTGTTTGTTAGCCAGGACCATTCTTTAAAAGCTCGATGACCTAGGAGGCTTCAATATACCATCAAACTACTGACCTCACAGCATCGAACTGGCAATCCTCTGATAACTAGGCAAGCACACTCAGCTACCTTGCCAAATAAAGTTTGTTCGTGGAGTAGTAAGATTTACACCTGCTTGACTTACATTTTTTTGCTCTAGCATGTCAAGATTTTGTCAGTGTAGTTACAACATTTACATCTACTACCACATACAGTATTGCTTTGCTTTAACATATTACATTGAGAGCTTTTCACTGGAGTTGCAATATTAACGTCTACTCTTAAACTTACGACTAAAATCTTTAACAACATTTCATTTATCTTACACTTAAATGTCGGCTCAAGAGTTTCAGGCTGTAGTGTTCAATGTACAAAAGGTGACCAAAGAATGAGGAAACCCCTTAACCTGAGTTAAGACTGGCTCTAGGAAATGAGACTTCAGCAATGGTGAACACCAAAAGCCACATTGCGGAAAGAGAGCGTCTTGCAAAGGTAGTCGGAATTGCTGTAAAACCTTGAGCGTCATGCAGCATGTCAATACCTTTCAAACAGTCCCTAATGGCACTAGCTTGACTACTGCTTAGTCTGGGATTAGTGAAAATATTCAATTGGACCTTTTAAAGCTAATTCCAAGTGGAGAGGGTTGTGACCAGTGTTTTCTCAAAACCATATAAGTATTCTGCTAATCAGGTCAAGAAAATCTGGTTTTATCCCACTTTAATATAGTTAAAAATCATATTTTATCCGCAAGAATTTTTCTGTTCAATCCCGCATGATCTTGACGTACTAAGTTTAAATAGCTCATGAAACCTTTCAATATTAGCCTATTGTGCCATAGTAATTTTATCAAGTGGGATTAATTTTTTTGGAAAGCAGAGTAAAAAAAGAAAATCAAATGTCAGAGCTTTGGTTTCGATTAAAATCCTTCCTAGAAGAGGCTAGTAATAGGCAGTAACGCTGATGGAATCAATGATTGCACAAGCTGTAATTTGACTGTCTTTTGCAGCTGATTCTAAACCTACGTAGCTTGAGCCTTCTAAAGGTTCACTGGGATGTATATTTGACTAGCTGTTTTGCCTGCTATTCGCACCGGTCGGTAAACTTGTGAATAGTAAAGTAAATTCATCACCTGTGGAATAAGGGTGTAAATATTAAGGATCATTATCGGATGACGAAAATAAACTCCGTTAAATGACATACTTGTCATAGCACTTTGAACCTACACATAAAACTGCTTTAAACAGGTCTATCTCAAATTATGTCATTTGGAAAGTGTCGTATATGTTTAACAAAATCTGGGTGATCACCGTTACAAAGGGTTTTCAAGACTGTTAGAGCCCTAGTGGCCGCCACCAGTTACTGGCAACTGACAAGCCACTCCACCAATAGCCACCGTACAACTAGTTGATCAAATGCTGATGAGCAATGACATACAATTGATTTTGTGAAGTGACCATGAAATTATACTTAAAAATGAGGAATACAACAAATTTTATCAATTATCAATTATTTAAGATGGGGACGCCACTATGTGCGTATTTTAACCCAAATATGAGTGAAGGATGAGTGTAGGATGAGTGGCGCGATCTTGTAGTCTTGTTAGTAACTAAGACCTACATGTTCCTTAGACACAGCTGTTAATTTATAGCCCATACAGCTAATGGCAACTAAGGGACCTACAGTTTAGAGTAGAATCCGAACCACGTTTTTTCCTTGGTATTTAACGAATTGGTCTAATTATCAGGATAGTACTGCGGATAGTTGAGTACTCACTCGTGCGGACGTTAATCCACACCAGGGAGCATCGCATCCTTAGTGCATGCCTATAAATATCCACAATTCGTGACCTCCTAGTGGCTAGATTACAGGACGACGCCACCTGTCCCAGTAATGAATCAATAAACTTTGAAAGGAACTACCACGAGCTCCTACTGAGGAACTACCAAGGACCACTACTGAGGAGCTACAAAGATTTGTCATTTGTAGCTTTTCTAAATACAAATTTAACTTATCATTACAATTAATCATAGATTTTGATATTTCAATTAACGTGGTAACTTTAATTTCTTGAAAAAAAAAGTGTCAAACATAAAAACATATGATGTTAAAATACCCAATATTGGGCCCATCTAGCTATTTTGCTAATGGGGGTTTGTTGCCTCAAGTTTAAAGAGAAATTGAATGCTTCAGTTTTAAGTTGCATTTTATTTAGTTTGGCTACAACTAAAACTACTATTTATCAGTTTTACTTGAACATAACTTGCTCTTTTAAACTCTAGATCCAATCTTTGATCGATTTAAAATAACTTTGGATTGCGCAAACTGCTCTATTTTAAATAATGTAACAATTGGGTGAAATGTGATAGCTTTATCTTAATTGATTCTTTATTTTAAACAATTACTGTAACGAATAAAGATACTAACTGATAAGGCTTTGCAATAAATTTGTACCACGTTATGGTTCTTAAGACAATAAATACTAGTATTTGATTGGAAATTTAACCTGGTGTTTTGTGCGTCTCATTTAAATTGGCACGTTATAATTGAACTCGGAAAATGCATAGAGCTGAACATTTACTTCAATTTGTTATTTGAAATATGTCTAAACAGATCGGGTATGACAGTAGATCGAAAAAATGCCCAGAATGATAATATTTATGACTAGGCCCTAAATTGGAGTGAATTAAATTTTTAAGGTACATTGAATAAATATGATCAAAACGTATTTTTTACTTGTACTGCAAATTATTTTGTTAAAGACAAACGAGTAGCATTTCTAAATTAATATTAGGTTTTTGAACACTTTGTGCTCACGCTTGTAAGCTTAGACCCAAACTGTTTTTAAAATGTTAGTACTACAGTATAACATTTTTTTAAATGTCAAATTTCATCACAAGATATCCATAAACAAAGTTAACTTTTCTCTAACAGAATAGCATGAGAATTTTAAACGAACAGATTCTTGAAATTTATTCTTTAACCTTTATTTGTACAGCATCAGTTCAAAATATACTAGATTATTTGTTTTTTAGAGTCTAAAATGGCTGTAATGAAAACTGGGTATTTTTTTGTTCTATAAATAAAAACTAAAAAAAGCCAATTTTAAAATTTTAAAACTCCATAACACCACGCCCCCCAAGACCCAATCTCACTGGTTCGGGAGCTCCTCCTAGTGTATCCAGCCCTACATGTTCAAGCCTAGTTTGGTCAAGATTTAAATGAAATTTCTCAAGTTATCATGTTTACATACACACACACCATGGGCTATAAATACAAATTTTAAACAAGTGTTTTTGGCCTCTGGGGACATTAAAATGAAATAAACTGCATAAGCTTTCTGACACATGCTTTCTCCCATAAGCTCGTCAATAACCTTTATTATTATGGGTATGCGGAGAGAGTAAATATGATAGTTTATAGTTAAAAATCACAAAAGTTGTAATAACTTTTGAACCGTAATTGTTACAGCAATGGGGTGTTGTAATATTTTTTTAGAATTATAAGGACCATAACATATTAATTTTGTTCAAAACCAGCTTTTCTCCGAACATCCAATTTCTTTGTTATTCTATGGGAAAATAATATAAGTTACAATATCAAAAGCTTCTATTCATCCATGAAATAAAATATTTTAATCTTACTGTGATCTCTTTTTGTTACATTAATCTCTGCAAATAAAACTACACAATTTCTCAAGTTAAAATAAAAATCTCTGCCACAGCAAATCTGTAGATCAAGCGAATTTCTGTTGGCATTATTTGATCTTCACCAAAAGATTTATTAAAAAAGTAAAAAGGGCAGATTTTTGCCCTTTTTAACAAAACAGTGGACTTGAACGAGTAATTAGGTTATCTACTACAGGAAAGGTGATGAAGTGGGTTTTTAGTAAAATGTAAATTGATTTGTATAAAATAACTTTCTTTAATATTCCAATTATTTTTATAATATCTACTTTAACATTTGTAAAAACAATTGATATGTAGGTGTATAAAAGAGCCATGATAGTGTATCATTAACGGTCACTAGAAGTGGAAACCGGATAACCAAGTTTTGTAATCAGAAGTTGATTTGCATACATTTACTCAACACTACTGATTATTAATGACTTTTATTACCAAGTTAATGACCCCTTCTTCTTGAAAAGAATAGGAGAGTCGGAATAGGTAAGTGATAAAGGAACTTTAAGGTAGATTTAAAGGTTATGCCTAGAAACAAGACAATGGAGAGGGAAAAATGTATTGTTTGTTGTTGTTTGTTTAAAGTCATCTTTATGATTACAACTCTGTATAATTTTTACAAGATAATACTTATAGTACTATTAGTAGTACACATACTAGTAAACATGTTATAGGTATTTTAACATTTTAAAGAGGTGACTAGTAATAATTATGAATTAAGAAGCAATAATTTTGTCGAGAAATTATATACTAGCAGAGTACCCGTCCTTCGTACGGGGTAGGGATATAAGTATAAAATGCTTATTGCAGTTATACTCAAGCTTTGCGTTTGCAATGAGGGAGGATACAGTTTGATAAAATTTGCTTCTTTAAATTTACAGTATTCTATAGTCACATACCATAGCCATAATGATCTACCACTTCGCCTAAACAATAGAGAAAAATTAATTATAAAAAATTCTCAAAATATCACAAATTATTCATGAAATAAAAAAAAAAAGCAACTGTAAACAATCCTACTTTGACAGTTAGTT